GCTGAGGAAGATCTCTTGACGCATCTTTGAGCTTTTTGGCTGCAGCAGTGAGTACAAAACCACAAAACTACGAAACATGTGCCATTGTAGAGGTGTGCATTGTGCAAAGCATGAAAAAGATTGGCGGGCCATGGAGTCTCGCCAGTTCCCGCCTGCCGATCTCTGAACATATATTTGTGTGGTGCAACGTGCCTTACTGAGACTAAGTGTGTGAGACCTTTAACATAGCTTTTACCAATATATTTATCTCCACTGACGATTTTCATCCCATCTCTGTTTCTCATTACTATATATTCCTTTCCACCACCACCCCTTATTCCCAGTACAGAGTAGCCAACCAGAACTGACGTTCAGGTTAACCTCTCCAGTTTTCCCTTCATTAACTTCTATGCCGAACCCTCTGCGATGAACCCTGAGCAGCAGTGTAGGGGGACCGCGGCCTGTTTGGGAACCTAGTTTGCAAACAGACTGCGGTCTTGCAAAAATGTGACTGTTCTTATACCTCTTAACTAAAATATAGTGTAACTGTTTCTACTTTTCTTTCCCATCTGTCCAAGCCTACAACCTGAATGTCAAAGCAAGGACCGTACACTGTCATGTGAAATAATCATAGCTTTTCCTTTTCCCATCGCGGCTACGTCCGACATACTGTAAACGACTTAATTTTTGTGAATTTTGCAAATCGCCTACAATTAGCGAAAAATAAGTCCCGCAAACAATTTCGGTAAGATATAAACACACTGGAATCTACATTGAGATTCCACTGCGTCACTAAAATTAGGACCCACAAATTATTTCAAAACTTCAGCTTTGACCTAAATCGTGAAATATTGAGCCCACGAAAAATAAATCGCTTAAAGTATCTTTAGACACCCAGTTCTGCATAAGTAGACACATCTTTAGGCTCCGTCCGGGTTCCAGATACACCCAACAAACATTTAGACTCCAACTCAACTCCCACTCGTCCCCCATGAACCAAGCACCCAAAAACAACGAAAGGCAATGTAATCTGATGGCACCGCTCGCACCAGCTGCCAATTCGTGTATACTTTCAAAGACACAGAAACTACTAAATGGCATGGCTCATTAGCGAGATTTGTCATTACTCTCATCCTTTTAGAACCCTTCGAGACAAACCACACGAAGTGGCAAAGCCCACCCAGCAGAGAGTACCACTTGACCAGCGACATAATGTCATAGGGGGTGTTGATGTCGCTAGTCGGGCAATATTTCCTGCGGGGTGGGGTTCGCCGCCTCACGTGGTTTGTCTTTTGGGTTTCTGGGTGGAAGGGGAGGGGGGCCTAGTTTTTAGATCACAATGCATCTCGTAGTTCCTGAGTGCATTGTGCAAGGGGGGAGAGAGAGGATAGATCGGGGGTATGGAGTTCGGGTAAGGCCTGGGCTCAGATTGGGTCTACGTGTTGCACTCCTACACAAAGCATGTGACATTGTGGTACACTAACTTAAGCCTGAGCCTAAAGGCCTGTTTACAATCTTCCGACCGAGTAAGACCGAAAGAGACCAGACCGATTTTTAAGCCTCTTGCGATCTCTTAGGACGAGCTCCGCTGCAGCGCATCCGGTCCTAAGAAGTCGCAAAATACTTAAAAACCGGTCTGGTCTCTCTCGGGTCGCAAAAGTGTGAACGGCGCTTAACCCGACCCCCACCTCCCCACCTTCCTCTCTGTCCCCGGTAAACCACCCACCCAGAAACCATGAGCTGCAATGTAATATCAGTGGTGTTGTCGGATTACCTGCCAGCCCACAGCTAGCACCACGTAGCCGCAAAAAATAGGACCTGTAAGGCCAGGCCTAGGACGGGGGCAGAAAAGGTGGAGCCAGGACACGGGGACAGTGATGAGATTACTGAATAAAACATTATGTTATCGGTTGCAACCTGGCTTTGCGTGACTGCATCACGAAGCCTCCACCGAGGCCAAGACACCACAATATACAAGACCAAGACCAAGACCAAGACTAAGCCCCCCCCCCCCCCCCAAAAAAAAAAAAGAAAAACACCACGCACGCGCGCGCACACGCACATACACAACCCTTTGAGACAAACCTCGCGAGGTGGCAAAGCCAACACCGTAGGGAGCAGCAACGTCCGTCCACCGCCTCGCCCCCGCCCTCCCCCTTGTGACGCCACTGGAGGGAGTACTGCGCGAGTGCGTGAATACAACTTACAGCACCAAAAAGCGCGTTATTTACCTCTTTGGTGTGTCCTGCTTCCTCGCCACTAGTGCAGTCGTCTTCCGAGACCTCGTCACATCGCGAGCTGCCGGCGACTTCAGAAGCTCCGATACCAGAGAAGGCCACAGTCGGAGGGGTCCCGGCAGCTAACGCTTGCATTTTGAAGCGCCGACTTTCAGTTTTTCTGAGCAATGGCACATCCTGTTCGAGGTGGCGTTTGTACCTTGAAGGCATGGCCTAGCGTCTTTTCCTTGCTTTTTCCCAGTCACGGAGTCAGAAGGAAATGCAGTTCCGTAAATACAAATCAGAGCGTCACATAGTGCCCTGGCACGTGCAAAACTGCACAAAGGAACGCCTGGGAATGCTGCAGATGTCCTACATATATCGTTAAGCCCTGCAAGTATCATACGAACATTGTCGATATTCCCATCAATAATACAATCGAGCACAACCGGTACAACTCCCAACTGAAAATAGAAGGTAACTCGCGCCACCTAACTACTGTGTTTTAATTTTATCTAGCTAGTAGGTTTTTACACCAGGTTAAATTTCTATTTCCATTTTTAAGATAGGTAGATAGATAGGATCTATCCAGAAATCCAAACCTCTGATTTATAGCCTTCAGCCTAGTGCTCAACGCTCACGTCTTGTGTCCGACCTGTCGAGGTCGTCAAGGTAGAGGTCAATGTTCATTAGGCCTACCAGTCCTCGTTATGAGAACAATGAATCGCGTTCGAGGAGATTGCAAAAAGGGGCGGCCTTTCGAAATTTTGGAGGCATGTGTTACAGCTTTCCACCCCCAACCTGCACGTAGGCTCGAATTATAATGCAATTAAATGCAAAGGTGCAAGCCAGCTGGTCAAGAATGACGAAATGAAGGCTCGAGTTGTGCGCAGCAAAACTACACTGTAGGAAAACCGCGAGAGCGAGGGCACAGGTTTTTGCGGAATGCTCTGTTTGAACCATTGCTCGCGGGCATTTTGGAAAGCAGCGTGCTCGCACCCGTGTCTTCTGCCTTCCTGCACACAGCTTATTGGGAAACAGTCAGAGTTTTAAGAGTAAGGAAATCAAAGGAAGTGTTGCTGAGCCGGAGGCTCGGCATGTCACCTTTGTTATTGAGAAAAAAACTTGTGAACTGGAGTATATATGTGTTCTTTCTGAACTTTGTGACAGTACCAACACGCTCTTAAAGTACCAGATTCCTTAGACCCTTGCACGTTCTGCGGATGCTCATTCCGTTAAGGGTGGTTGAGGAATATCCTCTTGTCTTGAAAGACTGGTGAGCTGCGCGCCATGATCTCGGCTACGTAGCGTATTCCGAGCCTCGATCTGACCCTTCGGACCCTGTAGTAGCACTCCTAGCTGATAAGAAATGAAAGAAAAAAGAAAGCTGATGTCGAAGTGGTAAGGGATTAAACATGAGGAAGAGACATAAAAGGGGGGCACGGACAACGAAGTAAGTTCCCAAAGAAATTGTCGTTTGTTCTCCCAGGCGAAAATTTATAACTGGGACCAGTTTTGCAGTTGGGCAGTCGGAAGTTAACCTGGGAGTCAGTGCGTCCTAAACAGGTATACTGTCGGATTTGTTGACAGCTGAACGCTACCTAATAATAATATGAAGTCATAAAACAAATACGGTACAAGGACAGACATGTGCATGCTTGCACAAACATAGATATGTACTGCAGCGTGCCTGTCCCTGTAGCGTATACGCTTTTGCTATCAATGAACAACAGGCTTGTTATAGTCATCAAACGGCACCCTTGTCGAATATTACGTCGTACCAAAGGAATAATTAACCCAATGGGTGTCATTAGCTTAGTGCGCGCACTCAAAGCTTGCGAACCTGCCACACAATACTTCGATCCTGCGCAAGCTTTTTAACGTGTACAGGAGGGTTAGCGAACGATGTTTTCGCGAATGGAGCTCGTATCCATCTGTGGTCGGACGCCGTCTGTGGTGCCCAAACGATTCGACAGTTGGGCCAGCTGCCATATCTGTTAATAGTACATTGGCCATGAAAGCCGCAATGCGTGAGCAGAACCAACACGCTCAATATTCCCAAAGATGAACGCTGCCGAAACGTCGTTCGATTATACTACCATTCATGTATCTTTGTAATGCTCCGTTATTTGAAGCACAGACAAAAGCATTTTGGTTTTTGGCCAATGATAAGGTTACACCACTGTGTGTACGTCCGGTACTGACGAAAAGGATCATGCATTTCGAACGAATGTGGTAATTTGTACTCAGTTTAATGAGTGGTGTGCTTGTTTTGCAAGCAAGTCTGTTGTCATTGAACTGCGATGTTTTTTTTTTTCTTTTTTATAAAATGTACAGTAATGAAGAAATAATCTCCTTTAGAAACAATAAGTATTCACTTGAGGAGAACGAATAAAAAGGCAACATCTAATTACGAATTTACAAAGATAACAAACTGGACGCGGTTTAGAATTTGGGGTGTGCAGACAACGTCGGTGGCAACGTTGGCACCCTTACAGCCATTGCTATCCAATCCAATCCAATCCGCAACCAAGCAGCACACGTGCGTTGTCCGCTTTGTCTTAACCTGAAGGGAAACACCGGCAATGGACAAGTTCGCACTGTTCAGGTTTCCTGATGAGTCATTATCGGTAGAGTCCGTAAAGTTAATTAAATACTATGACCCAGTCGTAAAGCATAATTCCAAAACGTGGCCGGAATTCAGCGGTCCAACCCAGAAGAATAACTGGGTGAAAGTCAACTGGCCCGACGGGGACAAGAAGACCGGGGGGGCGACGGGTACGTCCAAGTTGCTGGCCGCGCAGGTCGTGAAGTTCAGCCGTAAGCATATATTTCCACCAAACTTTGTGAAGCATGTATCGAGGCTACATAAAGTGCCATGATCAATTAACTACTGCGCGACATTGTGGACGCGAAAACGACATTGCCGGTTTCCGCAAGATATGGCATTGGTGGGCGCCGAGTTTTAGCGCTTCGGATTATGCCCCAGACGAGCACTTGCTGTCACACGAGTAGAGTTGATGAGGGCCTTTCGATTCCATGGCAAGATCATTGGAAACCCACGACCGCTTGTTCGCGCTATCAGTCGCGCTGTGTACGGGTCCGCTGCATGCGTCTGTTTTGACCATGAGTACGTGTTAGAACGAGCTTCCACGGGGTTCATTTCGTACGACCAAACTTGTGTTGCTGCAACGGAAAAAGATGAGCACAAGTGATTAACGACCGGAGCGGCAAAATCGCGACACGCGGCGCTATTGTTCCCGAGCGCGCCGATAGCAAGATCACCGGGCACGTTTCATATTTTAAAGCGAAGATGAACGGCAGAAACAGCCCATCCTAAAGCCCGTATTTCGAAAGCTATCTTATCACTCGCTTTTCGACCGAGCGATGCGGCACCGCGGTTGCGCACTTGAGCCCGTTTATTTTTTTTTCCATTTTTTTTTGCGCGAGCGTTGTGAAGCGGCGGTATTTTCTTTATTGCAGTTTCCTCCTAAACTGACAATTTGCTGCACAAAAAATTGTCAAAGGCTGTGGGCGGCACTGCCCGCGTGACAGGGTAGCAAAGGTTTAAAAGCATGTGTAGTTCCCATGAATTCCGCCAAAACGACGTGCCTGGCTATATGCCTGCCCCACACATTTTCTATAATTTTGAAGTCTGCTCCCTTTGGAGGCCATTGAAGCTCCTGTGTGCCCAGTTCTTCCAGCATCTCCTGCACTATAGCCTTGAAAGAAAAAAAAGAAAAGGTTGTTTTAATTAAAGTCGCTAATTTGATTTGGAAAGATTTTACCTAGTGGCAAATTCCAGCCTAAGCCGCTTGTGGCTTCGCGTCAAGAGCGGCCTCTGGCAAGCCATTCTACTGCGGAGCCCGACCGAACCAAGGCATTCTCTGATGATAGACGGGGACACCTACAGGTTAAGTTTTCATATCTCTTGGGCAGTAATAAAAGGATCACAGCCAACTGCAGTCACATCCCATCTGTCTTCCCCTTCCGTGGTCGTTTTTGGGTACCCATTTCGAGCCTCGTCCCTAATCCTTGCCTCTTCGAGAAAAGCATGCACAATCGAGGTACGGTTCCTAGTGAGCACCTGATCTCTGCAGCAATACTCCTTTCGTCCGACCGTCTTGCACAAAGGTCAAGATCTGAACCCTTGTCACGTCGTTAACTCAAAGCATCCTACGTCGTTTTTGGCAGGATTCGTGGGAACTACAGATGCTTTTAAACCTTTGCTACTCTGTCATGCAGGCAGTGCCGCCCACAACCTTTGCCAATCTGTCGTGCAGCAAATTGTCAGTTTAGGGGAAAACTGCAATAAAGAAAATACCGCCGCCTCACAACACCTGAGCAATAAAATAGAAAAATAAAATAAAATAAACGGGCTCACGTGCGGAATTACCTTGCTCCATTGCTCGGCCGAAAAGGGAAGGATAAGATAGCTTTCAAAATATGGGCCTTGGGATGGACTGCTTTCTGCCATTCATCCCAGCTTTGAAACATGAAACGTGCCCGGCACTCTTGCTATCGCCGCGCTTGGGAACATAGGCGTCGCGATCTTGCCACTTCGGTCATCGGTCACTTCTGCTAATCTTCTTCTGTTGGAGCTGTTTCACATAGGCAGTAGTAAACAGCTGTACATGGCTTGCTTATGACGTCATTGGACTGTGCTGGAGGTTGTTCCGACTTGTTTTTGATGAAGAGGCAAATGCAATAATGTAAAGTGATTGCTGCAGAAGCTACTCGCCCGGCAACAAGGCCCCCACAATGGTAGCTCAGGTGACGTCGATTTAAGCCATGCATACAGCAGTGTCATATAGAAATCCTGTGAACACCCACTGCTTAATTTTGAAAGTTCATAAATTACAGATTTTTAGGCAGCTTTTTTTAAATCTGCGTATAGATAAGCTTTGTCTGTGTGACTCCAGCCGGCGCATGAAAGCACTCAATCTCAAAAGCCCTGTGTCATATGCCCTGCCCTTTTTGCCTCTTTTTCCATATATCCTGATTTCGGGATGCCTTTATAGTTTTTTAGTCTGAACAGCCTTGGTCCTGAATATGCCTTGGTCCTAAATATCAAAAATTTTGCAACAAGCGAAAGCATATGGGCAAGCTGGTTAGGATAAATCAATCTAAATCCTGAGAGATTCTGGTTAGGGAGTTCATGTATAAAATGTAGGCCCTTACCATGTCGTCTAACCAACCAGCTCCCAACCAGGATCACCTACAGTTTTTAGACCTGAGCTTGAAGCTGCAGGAGGGACACGTGTGTTGGATGTATTCCCCACGATCCCAAAAAGCGCTCCTGCCATATGACTCTGCGCATTCTAAGGTGGTAAAGAGAGGAATCGCAACGCTCTGCCTAGAGTCAGTTATCAAGAAGTCGTATGCTCACCGCATGCAGGCCAGCTTCCACAACCAATTGACTAGACTATTGTCAGCGGGCTTCCCTCAAACGGTCTTGACGAGTGTGGCAGAGGCCACCCTACAGAAAGTAAAAGGGGCACACAACCAGGAAAGTGACGCAGTCGGCACTGAGCAATATGAGGCCAGAGGTTGCACTACATGTACACAAAATGGTGCACAACCTCAAGAAGGTTGCGAACGGGTACGGAGTACCTCTCGTGTTTTCAGCGCCAAAGAAACTCGGACACCTTTGCCCTCGAATTACTAAAGAAATCAAGAACGAGCGAGGATGTGGCACGAAGCACGCCAGGCCGTACATCGAATGCGTCACAGGGGTCCTGTATGAAATCCCCCTAACGTGTGGAACATCTTACGTTGGACAAACGGGAAGATGCACGAATGACCGTTTAAGAGAGCACGCGCAAAATTTAAAGACAAATGACAGGGCACATTTGCCCGCGCACTGATGGGTCTGCAAATGCGAGCCACGCTTCGGTGATACCAAGATTTTCGGTAGAAGCAGAATTCAAAGGGCACGCAAACTGCAAGAGGCATATTTTATCAAGAAGAGGGGACCCCAGTGCGTCAGTGACACGTCAATAGCATTGTATAACGCTGAGATTCGTTTTTCGATAAATACATACATGTAAACGGTTTCATGCTCTTGTATCTCGCGCATGAGTAGCCTGGGTGACGATAAGTGTATCAAATATATATATATATATATGTACTTCCATCTCCCTTTCCCAATACAGTTGTGAGTAGAGCCCGTGTTTGTATTCTATCTTGTGTACGTCTTTTTTAGCGCTTTTAACCATGGTTCAATTCTGGGGAGGGAGCAGAGAAGGAAAAAGGGGGGGGGGGGGGGTTGAAAAAGGAGGAGGGGGAAAAAACAGGTTATTCGCGGCCTTCCCTCAAGGCCTCTGGTCCCCTCCGCCCAGTTCGGGACGGAGGAATTTCATCTCCCTGTCGGAAAGGGCCAGAGAGGGCGAGGCGACGTTAGTTACCGAGCTCTTAATGGCGTATGATTCGGCGACTTCCCGCCAAATCTCTGCTGGTGTCCTCCCAATACGCGCGTACCTTTGTATCTGGGCGAACAACCGTCGCACGTCATACGGTGTACAACTATTGGGTGCATGGAGTCGTCGGGGGGTTCGCTCACCTCCCGCGAGTGTTCCCTCAGGCGGTCATTTAGGCACCTCCCGGTCTGCCCTATATACTCCCCGCCACACGAAAAAGCGATGGCATAAACCACCTCCTTCCTGCACTTAACAAACTGCTGTCCGTGCTTCTTGTTGCATTGAGTCGCGGAAGGATTCACCATTCTGCACATATGTTGAAGCTTTTGCTTGCAGCTAAACACTACCCCTACCTCGAAGCAAGGGGCGAGTCCCTTGAGGCGATGTGCGGTGTTGTGCGAGTGGCGATGAGAGTTGAAAGAGTTGTATCGTCTGTTTGCGTCCCGAATTTGTGTTTATTCTTTCCGGTTGTCTAAGTCAGTGGTTCTCAACCATCGATGTTTCACGGACCCCTTGTGAATCGGCGGAGCTGATGGAGGATCCCCTTTTGTGGTGAGAGGAGGGGAAATGTATAAGTTAAATATAATAATGATTTAATATATAGAAATAACTAAGTGCTAGTATGAAGTAGCCCTCTCTTATTGACATAGACATGAGAAAACTCGCCAAAAACGGAAACATTTCTTCTCGACCTGAAAAAAGACAACTTTTATTGCCGTGCTTGACAGATGAGTTAGGGCTTCGCGGACCCCTAGAATGCCTTCGCGGACCCCCATTTGAGATCCACTGGTCTAAGTATTTACCAACACGCTCGTTTTTAATGTTAGCATATCTTTCTTCCGTTATTTGAATAGTATAGTTGAGTCAGCCGGCAGTACTACCCTCAACTACAATGTGAATTGCGGCAAAAGAGCATGTTTAATTTATTATTTTAGACTTCCACCCATGGTCGGTAAAGGCCTACACCAGTACAAACTTTGCATAGTAAAAAAAGGGTACAGCAACCAAATTTAATTTTCGCCGTAGAGACCAACCAATCTGACAGTTTTCCTTATCTATATATATTTTTTTATTTGCACGCAGGTAACATCACAATTGGACCCTGTTAGTCTTTTTATCTAGCATAGTATTACACAATAACTGGCATGCCAAAATCTGTGCATCTGCGCTTGAAATTTCCAAAATGACGCGATTTTAAACAGTTTGCACGCCAGCCGGATGCCAGGTACTGCCCACTCGGTGGAGCAGACGACATGCGGGGTGAGAGGGAGAGGGCATTTTTTCTCTCTATTACCCTCTCTGCTATGACCCTAATGGAACGGTCTATAGGAGGTGACGTTTTTTATGTGTCATCCCAAGTGCATCAAACAAATATGTATGGGCACCATTGAAGCAGTGCTAACATGTTCACTTCATATAGTGTGCTTTTGTTTTGTAGGGCTTCCAGGCATTGTGGATAAAATGCTAACTGGTGTGGCGGCTGGTGCAACAGCTGCCAACAATGGACCAGCTGAGACTGTAAGTCTAGATTGACTTTACTACTGTGGTGTTTAGCTCTATTATAAAGAAATTCCAGATTTAGCTTCTTTTTAGTTTTAGTAGTACCTCATTAAGCATCCAGTAGAACCTGTAAGCATCCAGTCATGCATGCTTTTATCTAAAGTGGCCGTGTGCGCACAGCGGGGAAGAGCATGAAGTGCGGTGGCGTGATCAAACCAAGCAAGAACGGCCTCATGCACACTATTATCTGCCGCATTATTCCTTGGCAAGAGATACTAACAGCATGATCGTAAAATGCGCAGTCCGTCAAGCTGGGCCTGTTGAATTTGCCCAACTTTTTATTGGAGGTGTTCTTGTTTTTTTTTTCTTTAGGAATTCATTGATGTTGACGTATATGTCATGATCTGGAGACTTCTGTTCAAACAGGAAAATCGTGCAAGTGGTTAGACCCAGACTTGTACGTAATCCGTTACAAGTAACGAAATTACTTGTAATCCCTTACATTTATCAGTAATTTTGTAACGGAATAATTACATATTTTCTAGAGTAATTTTAAAGTAATTCCCTTACATTTTTGACGTAACGGATTCCTTGTAATCCGTTACATTTTTTGACAGAACCAACCCCCCCCCCCCCCCCGCCCCCATTCTAAATAAAGTTTTTTTTTTTTTTTTTCATTTCTGTAAAGTCGAGCGGAGTGACACTGTCACGCGAATCTGCCAGCGCAAAGGGAGTCTTGGCACTCTTCAGTTCCGCAAGGCCTTTTTTTGCAACACCAAGCCCCTGAATCTACAAATTTTCTAGACCCTAACATGTCAATGTTAGGGTCAATGTCAAAAGACCCAAATGAAAAATTCACGAAAAAAAAAGGGGGGGGGCAAGTTATATCCGCTTTTTTTGCTCCCTTTGTTTTTTCTTTGCGATCGAAGATGGGGTGAGGAGGACACCAAGTGATTGTGCGCCTCTTCGAGAAGCTCGAGGCGGTAAGTGCACTGAAAAGAATTAACAATGTCCTTCTCGGATATAGTGACTACGACCATTTTCATAATGTCACAACGGGAGACAACTTTCCGTCTACCCAGAGGCTCTGCGTCTACCCTACCCTTTTTGTGAGTCAGCTTTTTGCGAGCATTTAGAAAATGGTAATATTCTTTCTTTCTTCTTCCTGTTTTGCCCCAGCAGGGCGCAGCTTATCTCAAGCAGATATTTTTACAAATAAAACATAATGGTGGCTGACGTAGACTTGATATTCTGGGCTTGAGGAGAGAGTGACACTTTTGAGTAGGGTCATAGCGCGGCTTACTTAGTACTCTACACTTTGCTGCCCGTGGCATCAGCGGACGTCTATCTGGAGAACACCGGAGTAAACTGCAGTCGGTTCGTGCTCCGTGCGTTTTTGAACAGCACGAAGAATGGTACACACGGCAAACGTGCGTTTACATTTCCCTGTTTTAACCGACGTTCTAATTAATTATTGTTATAAGTGTCCTTCTTTTTCTTTTATTACTTATATTTATATACTGGAAACGTTTTTTTTTATTTTTTTATTCACCAATGTCTCAAGTGAGGCTCGAACTGTTCAGAACCAATGGAAGAATAATATCGAGCCAAACCTTATTTATTATTTAATTATCACCTTACTGTTACAACTATGTTTTGCTATTGATGACTTCTAGAGCTTTGCGATCTAGATAATAGAGAATTTTAGTAGATCGGTCCAATGACTCCGATAACGATATCCGATACTTCGCCGCCGTCTTTGCGTATGCATCATATCGTTATCGGGTACCGTTATCGCGGGTACGGAGGTATCGGAAGGATCAACAAACTCTTTCGAATAGCAGGCAACGGCTGCAACGACGAAGCTTTGCTCTACATTCGAGGTAAATAGTACTTCCATTGCTTCGCTGAAAAAACTCAATGCAGAGCATGAAGCATTCGTGAGGAACAATATGGCACTCCCATCCAGTGCCTCAGCTAAAATGGTGTTCAGCGTAGCAGTCGACATATTGAGTAAGAAATAATGCAAAATGTCTGACGAGACATTCGAGAGCCAGTTGTTGTTCAAAATACTCAAGGTCATTAAATGGAACAGGTGGCAACAATAAGAACTTGAATAGACCTCTTCCCTTTGTTTCTTACTTGAGGACAATAATGTTAAAAGTAACGCCACGAAAGTAACGGATTACTTTTTGGGGTAACGGCCAGTTACTTTCATGGGAGGGTAATTGTAATAGTAATAAATTACAATTGAGCCTTGAGTAATTGTAAATGTAATTCCTTACTATTTTTCAGTAACGTGTACAAGTCTGGTTAGACCCATAGCCAGTGACAACACAAGTAGCACAGGGCGTCTTTTTTCATTGTCCTGCCTCCAGCATGCGCTCATTGTCTTACGTTTAAATTTGGCTGCTAGTACACACAGGAAGAGTGATGCATCGTGGAAGGCAGGAAGCGTGCACAGGAGGTGGGACAATTGAATCCTGTTCTTCTGATCTTGTGCCCGACTATAGTTTAGTGCAGAGGTCTCTGAACGTGGGATTTTGGCCAGCAGCCCACTTGTCTTAGAGGTTTTTTAAGATTCAAATTCAAAACTTCTTTTAAATTTGTTTCTGGTTTCGGAGCTATTCCTTTTTTTCTCATTCTTTTGTAACGGTAACGGTTTCTTAATAAAGACACCTTTCCATGAAATAGGATGCTGCTGCAAGGCAAATTTGGTGTGAATATGATTGAACTAAAGCAGTTTAAAGAAAGCTTCAAGCGACGCCAGAGGCTTTCAAATAGCACACTCGGGTGTGTTGCTTGTTCTCTTAGTTCGGGAGTAAACACACTGAATTGCTTTTTTTATTCACCTCATAAATTTGATTTATAGTATGGAATGATTTAAGTCTAAAACCTGTCATCTGTCTTTTCTCTCCGTCACAGTTGAAGTTTGGCAACACACTTCTGCCTGCCATAAGAATGGTAAGGTTACAAAACGCTGGGCCATCAATCTTCACACAAGAACTGGCAGAAATGGTTTTCGGCCAGACGACCCTGGGTACCCAAAGCCTGAGGGGCTCGACCTTTGGAGAAGGAAAAGAGCCCCTGCACAAAGAAACTGTGGATGACATTGTCGGTGAGGATGTCTGTACTTGGCCTTGTTAACTTATCTGCGTGTGACGACCATTTGAAGTATGATTCGACTCTGAAGCTCTTAACGTAGTCCAAACTCTGCAGACCAAGCTATATCAGTTTATGTGATTACTGTGCCATTTGCCCCAAAATATTAACTCTGGTACATCATGCTACATTTTATCAACATTTGGAAATTTTGAGCCAGAACTGCACAGAAGCTTATTTTGCTTTAAAGATACCACAAGCTCAGAAGCCTTACACTGCTGCGTTGTTACGGTGGGTTTGTGTAAATTTAAAAAAAGCTTTCAATTAGTGCTTCAAATAATATGCTATCCAAATTATCTTTCTGTGGAAACTGGCATACTCTTTGCAGTTTCGCACAAAAATTGGTTGGCAGTACAGAGAAGAGGGGCAGGAGGAACTCCCTTCTTCCCGAGAATCTTTTTTGTGTGTCACAGAATTCGCTATTCTCCCCCTACAAGATTATAGAAGATTAACCCGTCACTCAAAATTCGTACAAAGCAGCCGCTTTGGTGACTGGAACGACTAGGCCATCCTCTCGACATCAGCCTCGCCGTAGCTTTTCTCGTCCCGAGACGACCTACGTCACGATTGCGTTGGATGTCACGTCGTCTCCGCTGGGCCTTCTCCGAGCGCTTGCCAGTGTGGGCCGTTTAAAACGAAAAATACAGCCACCCGGATCAAAATACAAACGTTCGATTGTCATTTACGGATATTGTGGATCATATTGAACCTATTTTTGAACACGACGGGAATATTTCAAATTTCGTTGAAGTATCCCTTTAAAAACTGAATTAATTGTGAGCTTGCGTTCTGGCGGGAGCTTCGAGCATGCAAGCACGTGCAGCAGGTGTGTAACGGCAAGTTTGGAAAGCTTGCAACTGCACATGCTTACTTGCACCACCAAAGAAATGGTAGTGGTGCCCAGCCTTGCAATAGGGTTATGTTTTGCTTTTATGTGAAATCGCTCATTTATTCCCTATTTTCGTATAGGCCTCGAGCTGTCCCAAGTGTACTGTCACAAAATAACTTATACCTTCGCCAACTTCAGCAGTGAAAGGGAGGTTTGAGAACAACCTTAGAGAGTTCTGGATTTTTAAGACAACAGTCATCATGAATCTCTGTGTAACTATTTCATTAGAAAGCACAGTTATGTGAAAATATTTTGTAACTATCAAGGTTTGTAGTTTTTTTAACTTCTGAACTTGAATAAAGCATACAATTATTTACTATGCTTATTATAGTCTCGCACAATTTCAGCGGACTAAATTTGCCATCAAATTCATACTTCGAATAAATTTTCAGATAGTCACTCTACATCATTCAAACCAATTGTGTATAAGACTGCTGCTACAACAATACCTAGAAAAAGGCTTTTCTTATGACATCCTTGCTCCCGTGTCTGAAGATTTTAAGCACATAGGCCAGTTGAGGGTTGAAAGCTGTCTTCCTTAATGCTAATAGCAGATGCAGAGAGGTGGGAAAGGAGCATTGTCTTTGATCTGATATGAATCTTATAATTGGACTGGAACGAATGAGAGTAAAGTTTATACTTAGCTTTGTCTTAGATCTGCAAATAACTATTTTGCTGATCTAAGACAGACTTTTAGCTGCTCCATAAGGTGGTACAAAATGACGAATAAATCACATCACTGCTTTCTAAAAACATTAGTGTTGTTAGGACTAGGTTCAAAATGAAAATGTGACAGCAATGCTGCAAATTATGTACTCCCAATCCCTCCTTTGGGCTAATGTTCTAAAATAACGAGAAAACCAATGGCCATTTTCTTAATGATTACCACTTATACAATATCAAAACCCCTTAACCAGCTTGCTTGATCTGACCAGCTTGCTTGATCTGGTGTCTCAGCTGCGGCTAGTTGTCTATAGCGTTCTACTTCACGCATACACTAGATGTGTGTTGTGTTTCTTTAACACAGTCCCAGCTGGGATGTTGATTCTAGTAAGGTACGTGGCCGGCCCTGGAACACTGTTATTTACTGTAGAATAGAGACTAATGATTGATCAGATTCTTTCAGAAACTTAAGAAGCCTCATGTAATTATTTGACTTGTTTCTTTTTCAGTCTACGTCATGAACAAATTTCCTGGAGAGTGTGAAGGGAATGTCAGGAGGTACTTAAGACGGAAGTGCAACAATGCGGCCTCCTCACTGAAGAAGAAGCCTACCTATTTCTGAATCGTATCACTGAGAAATAAAAAAAATTGACAATTGTAACTGAGCTCTGGGTTATTTTGCAATCCTGCTTTGCATGATGAGACACTTGGCACAGACCTCTTTCGTTGAGCTGTCCCAACTGGGCACCTTGACTTTCTCAAGTGTGTTAGTTGAGCAAACCATGTAACATTTCTACTCACGGTATGTGTGCAGCCGAACACCACTACAACCAGGAAGGCTTGGAGCAGTAGTTCACACATATTAATATCGTATTATCTAGATGCATGTAAAATAGATTTGGTTAGTATTTTTAGTACATACTTCCAAGTCACTTTTAGTATATTTGAAGGTAATGTTTGACCTACTTAAAATGCTATTCTACCATACAATCTAGTAATTCTTGATGCATTTCAGATATATTTTTAGAATATTTTTACTTCATTTTTAGCATATTTAGCATTACATTTCTGACAACTTTTAAATTCTTTAGCTGTAAGTTGTAAATGAGTTTTTGGTCAGTTTTGAATACACCGATGGTATTTTGACATTGAAAGAATTATATTTTTGCTGTATTTGAAACACTTTCTGAATGATATTTATGATTAACTTTAAATACATTACGCGCTTATTTCGAGTGCGGCCAAAATAATACAGAATGAATACAAAATGAATACTCGTATTCAATACATTTCAACTTCATTTGAAGTACGGCCTCTTTTTGCTAAGGGTGTACTATTATAATTATTGTTCACTGAGACGCGCGTTTTATTAGATCATTGCAGCTAGCAGTTCAAGAGGTTCCAACCGCTGCTGCAAGGTGTGGACAATACGGCAGCTAATTTTTAATGTCTGAATGATTTCCGTTGTCACGCATAACGTGCAGCTCAGTGATTGAGAGTTGCAGCTTTCTGCCGCCGCAAGTTATGAACAACACGCCAACTAATTTTTGATGCGGGAACAATTTAAATTAAATATCTAGCGCCCATAAAATGTGATTAGGTTGTGGGCCCGAGTTCCTTTCAGGAAATAACGCCAGCTGCGCATCCCAGCGGTTAGCAGGTGCTTAAACACTGTTAGAAATTTGAAGCAAGTGCACACAAGATACAGTACAAGGTAAAGCATGTTCCTACCATTTTTTCTCACGAAATGATTAGTGGGCCATTTCCACCTTTCATGTAGAAGGCAATCTCCGATTTTCAGAGCAATAAAGTCCATATGAAGAACTTCAGATCCTGGAAAAGCAAATCAGAAAATATGAAATGTGATTAGGTTATTACCAGAGTGCGATGACAGAATAAATTTCCCAATTTCTGCAAACTATGACTTACACATAAGCGCGTTGCAAGAGCCTCACCTTAACTCTCGCGGGAACCAGACAGCAAAATCAATTTCAGACTTATGCTATGAATAAACAAGGGAAGTTCGAAAATGCCTTCGAAGACAAAATTGCTGCAATCAATGAGTCTCTTCAAGCATCCTGTCACGAGTTACTTCCAGAAGTTACGGCCAACTGTGTCTCTCAGAGATAATTACACACCGTGTTAGTACCCAAGTAGCACAACTCGCCGGTTTGGGACTGGGGCGGTACCGGTCTGCCGGTAAGATCCTACTGGGGCGACGCTGGAAATGCACCGCGGGGCGACAACGGGCCAGTGAGATTGCCAGTCACCGGCCAGTGACTGGAACTGACTGGGACGCCCGGCACATGGCTTCCCAGCGAGTTCCCGGCATGCTGGCAGCACAAATCCCCAGCGTAGTACCAGTAACGTAGTAAGATACCAGCAAGACCCCAGGCTAGCGGCCTCAAGCCATACAGTTCCCGGGCTGCTGCCAGCACAAATCCCCGGTGCACTACCACCAGTACCGCAAGATACCAGCAAGACCCCAGGCTAGCGGGCTAAAATCGTACAGTTCCCGGTCTTGTCTTACAGCCTAACATGTGGTTTTGTGTGCAATTTACACCTGAATAGAAATGATGTAGTTCATAAGAAGGGTAATTTTAACAACAAATGAGTGTAAACAATTATGTCGCACTGTACATGAAAGTAAATTTCTGGCATAGGTATACACCTTTTGGTAAAGCGGCTGCCACAGCCATCTGTCGCTCATACACAGGGTAGCGAATAAAACATACAAAATTGTTACCGTAAATGTTTATTGTCAGCTCAAGTGAAGCTACAGCTTGGATGGTAATCATGGGCTTGTCGCTAGAGGAGTGCGCTGGATGAAAGAGGTTGCATGTCACGGGCCTAGGAAATGTTCTTCAAACTTTTCATGCAGCTTGTGATGGAAGTCGACCATGCACCCAGGAAGGGGAGTTTTTCATTAGAGCACCTGCAAAGAGAATCAACAGCACAGTAAAATGACAGGGTAAATCAATTCCAGCTGCACATGATAATCCAGAAATTCCAAACTGGGGCGAGGGCTTAAAAGGTTAAAATAGCGCAAAGGACGACGGACAGTGTAAAAGACACGGACAGAGCGCTGACTCGAAACCAAATTTTCATTGAACTCAACGGTGCAATATATACACACTATTGAGAACAAAAAGGAAAATCGGCCTGAAAAACACCTAAAACAAAAGCACAAAACTAAGTATCACCTCTAAAAAGATAAACCAAGCTAATCAAGTGGCCAGAAAACCAGGGGCATGAGATAAGAAGCCCATGTACAAGAAAAACTTTTTGTAACTAATGCTTTAATTGTCTTCATTTCATTTTCAATCTGGAAACTATATCAAAACAAAAATACTTTGATTGCCCTAAGGCACTCCTGTTACAACACACTGGATGACCAAGCGGCAAAAATGGCCCAGTTATCTCATAATCGAGGTCAGCTATTTGCATTAAGAAGGCCCACTTCTGAGAAAGGCTCGTGGAAATCATCTACTTTAATTCAAAAGGGCGTGTCGAGAGAGGGCAAACTTGGCGGAGTAGTTGGCATGTAGTTTAACATTGCCGTTCGTCCCGATAGGTGCGAGAGATCCAGTATTTTTAGGTAAATATAGCGATTCATTAGTCTTACTGAGACAATGACAGATCATATCCTTGTTATATTCGCCACTCCAGCAAAACGGACAGCACCAAGCGGGAAAACCGGGAACCAGCCAGAACAGGTCACCCTGCGCCTGTCCACGTCTCTGGCGGCTTTCGCGGACACGTGTTGTCGCGCGGTGGCGAACAATGTAATTTCACGAAGGTACGAATACTTCTCAAGTTTGCCTGAGTGTTCATCAGTGTGATGAAGCCTCAGCAAATTGTTTTCTTCTATCACGTGTTTGAAAGCATGTTTACTCCACAACACACAGTCGCGTGCTTTCAATTTCTTGGATGGGGAGGAATCACGGAAAAACGTTTTGATTTCTTCTCCGTCTCGAATGACATTCAAAGTGACGACTACTTGGTAACTGATAAGTGGTATGTAGAACAGTTAACTGAGGACGACAGACGACGTGTTTCACTGGAGGGAAGGCCAATGCTGCAGTCAAGTGAAAGGGAAGGTTCAATAGCTGCTTTTCTTGAATTTGGTTGTGTTTGATTAGCGTCAACATTGAGGCACCCACGCTGGTCGGTGCATTGGCTATTCATCTTGGCTGCTTTTCGCCGAAAAAGCCTCTGGACCACACCGAAAAAGTTGGGCTGATTTCGCATCTACTTGATTCTGGAAAACCTGGTCGCTGCATAAGATTAATGAGGGATATTGTCTGCTTTCAAAAGGTGGAGGACGCGTCTCGCAAAGTTAGGAGCTGTCACGACATTATGATCTATTGCGCCTCCAATATTTATAACATACCCTCGTTGAAGCCAGCAGCAATATTCGACTACATTGCTCAGGTTGTCCGGCCACAAAGGATACCCTATTTCTCCATTCAGGATTTGAAGTCAAGTTTGATGCAGAGGGGACCCTTACAAAAAATTTATATCTGGCCAGATCTGAAGATTTCAGATATGGCCATATAAAAAATTGGACACATATAACCTGATATGGTATATCTGCCAGATATAGCTTCATAATGCCAGATATAGCGTGATACCCCTGCCCAGGTGTGGAAATCCCAGATCTGGCTAAGTAAGGAAATTCCAGATCTGGCCAGGCATTTCAAAAGGACACAAGCCTGGAATCAGCACTTTATATCTTTTTATTGTCTACAATTCTCCAAAGTGCCGCGGCCCGCACTCAAGGAGTTATGGAAACGGTGATCCTTCGGCTCCTTAGTGATCGTTAGTTTTGACCAATTCCATGGTTACACAGTTTTGAGTGTAATTCGTAGTCACCCTGAACACACGTCCCTAGGGCTCAAGTACCTGTCATATCACTTTTAAATTTTCTCGTCAATGGCAGCGTTTATGATACTGTGCATTCTGTGCAACCTTCAACCGGGCCGAGCCGCCGAAATCTCTTACCATATTATCATTCTCGCGATTGTTGTTTTAGCAGGAATTACTTAAAAGCCGAGAAATTACAACGACCGAAACCGGGATTTAGCTCGGACTCAGCGGAGCTGTTTATGACATTTTTAGCGTTTCTAACTTAATATAAGCGTCTTTGAAGCTGTACGAGAATGATAATAATATAAGAGATATGTCTGCCGCTCATCCAGGTTGAAGGTTGAACGGAAGGCACAGTAATGACATTGGTGGGACATTTTAAAAAGTTCCATGGCACGTACTTGGCTTCTGTACGGCACGTGTTCAGGGTGGCTCGGAATTACACTTAAATATAGCCATAGAAGTGCTCGAAATTTTCAATTACGAGGCGGCTGAATAAACACCGTCCCCATGATTCCTCGAGTACGGGCCGAAGCGCTTGGGGGATTTAGCAAATTGTCTATTCGGGCGTAATATTAACACTTTGAAATAATTAAGCTACATTGAAATCCTCTTGAAAACTAGCACAAATAATCTCAAACTTAAGCTTGTCAAAGCTGAAGTTTGGGATTATTAGTGCTAATATTTAGCTCGCGAACAATGAGTCATTCAGAGTTTGCTAACAAAGAAATTGTTTTTTACTTTTTTAACTTT